ACTTCCTAGACCAAGATATAAACATCACAAATTTGACTTTTATACAAGTGTCGTTTTAGGCTATTTTTAGGGCTTTTACGAAAAGCTCTATAACTTTTTAACGAAGTAAGTCCGAAAGAAAAAATTTGGGGAATCTTCCTGTATATGTTGTCTCTACCTATGGTAAAATCCTGAGTCAAAAACTCAAACATCGATTGAGCAACTTTGGCTGTCTCACTCGTGCAGTGACTCTTAATCTGAATGTAAATTTAGCTTGTGGTATATCATCATCTTTGTTTGTTTGTTCAACAGCTAAAACTAAATGTTGTGGAAAAGGTCTGAAATTATTGAGAAAATCAGTTTTGATTTCAGGATTTACATATAATTGAGTTGTTAATTTATTATAGCCAGATGAGCTTACTATAACATGAATATGGCTTGGTCGTATTGATGTTTCAGGAACAGGTATCAATGTTTCAATTTCATATTTTCCTTGTTTATCAGTTAAAAAATAGCCTCTGAAATTATAACCAAATACACTATATCCTGTTAATGGGTGGTATTGCCAAAAGTCAAGCTTAGCATTTTCAAGCGGTTTTCCAGTATCAAAATCAACTACCTGGCCATAAACTTTGATTGACTTTAATTTCAATGATTTGATTTCTTCTTTACTATGATCATGTAATTTACTGTGTCGCCGCGGAGGAAAAAGTTTATAGGCCGGTCCTTCAAACTCAGCCTGAGGATGCCAGATACCAAATTTCTTCCATAAAAGAGGATTATCGAACGTCAAAAGCATAGTAAAATTACGAATCAATGTTAAGAGTAATATAAATATATCTATAATTAGATCTACCATTTTTGATAAGTGACTGAATTGAATTATATTAATGATGATAATCAATGAATAAATTTTGTTTAATGTTTGATTAAATACCTTTTTTCTAAAATCCAGGTGTAAATGAATAACTCGTAGTAATATTCAGGATGTAAAATTCTTATCACAAATAAACAGAATGTCGAAAACAACAACCTTCTCAAAACACATGCACCTACATTATTTAAAGATTAAATTTAAGCACCTTTTAAATACGAAAAAATATTTCTCTAAAACACTTTCACAATTTTCGCATACAAAACTATTCTCTCTTTCGGTGAACTTTACTCAGCATATTTTCGATGATGTAAGTGTATGTGTTTGTCAAAAATCAAAACAATTCGGTTGGAAAAATTTTACGCACGTCCTGGTTTTTCTTATTGATCTACTGGCTTGACGAGATGGTACAGAGTAATTTGGATATTAGACTGCCCAGTCACATTTTCTTCTTAATATTTTATATAACAAGCTAGTATACCGCACAATGAGGAATTTTGGCTAAGCACGTGGACTTGCGCTAGTAAAGCGGTACAAAAGTCTCTCAGTACTGTTTTTATAGGTTTTCGTATACGCTCTTTTCAATGGCGCAGTCTTCAAACTTTTGAAGTATGTCTGAGCTGGTTTTTCAGAGATCGGATCTGTGGAAACCCGGTACAGACCTACTTTGAAAGCTTGACGATTGCATCATTGAAAACAGCGTATACGCAAACCTATAAAGACAGTACTGAGAGACTTTCGTACCGCTTTTCTAGCACATGTCCACGTGCCAAGCCATTATTGGTATGTCAACACGCTGAAACCGTCACATTACACTAAATCGAAAGATTTTTTATTCAGAAATACCGCAAACACACGTCTTTAGATGCATTTTTTTGCGCTGATTCTGAGTATGTCGCTCCTTTTGAGAAAAACTGCTTTGGAACAGGAAAAAACGGAAAAACCTCTAAAAATACTCGGGTTTTTCGAAAAGCTATAACTCCGTCCAGTAACATTTATGCATCATAATGCGAACTGTATAGATGCAAATACCGAGAAGAATGTTTTCTGAAGCTTCCAGCGAGTTTGAAGTTGAGGAAATTTGGGAAAATGCGCCATACTGCAGTATGTTCCTTAGAAAACTTAGCAAAAAAAGAAAATCGATTTTTCCGTTCCAATGCGACCTACAAAAAAATTCTTTTTCAAGTGGATAGAGTGATACGTCTAATTTCAAACCGTGTATTTTATTACTAGATATCGTGTTGTAATCTGATAAAAATAAATTTTCTATCTTCATCACTATGTTTTTCGAAAAATTTGCTTAGCGATTTTCTCACTTATGGTGGCAGTTAGAAAAAGTGTTTCACTGGCAAAAAGATAGACATCACACACAGCATCACACACAGCATTCCTTACAAGGAAGAGCGAACAACGCTCACATGGCCTACCTAGAAGATCAAGAGATTTTTGCTGTCGATTTTGTAGAGCATGCCAAGTTGTCTGAATAAAAGAATTTTTAAATCTAAAGATTGGGTTTGGGCTAAATTCAAGAAATTTTATCTTAAGAAACGGTGCAAGCTAAGGCCATGCAGCACATCAGAATATAAAATTTTCAAATTTCCTTCTGTAATACGCTTTCAAAAATTTCTCCTGGTAATTCTTAACCGAATTTTACGGCAATTTCAGTACAGATATCTTTACTATTTTAGTCCAATAACCATATCAAAATAAATTTCTTGCGCAAACAAAATCAGTTTCAGAAAGACTTTTATACAGTGCGATGGTCTATTCAGCAAAACTGAACGAACGGTAAACAGTCGTGTTTTATGCAATAAAGAGATAAACGATTCACTTGTCGGAAGAGTGATGTTATCGGAGCTGTGAGTTGAGCCTCTGGGAATCTTTACATTCGTCTATATAACATCCAGAGACAAAAGACAGAATTTAATTCATTAAAAAACTGTCGATTTTGTTTTGAAATTAATTTTGGATCGTCAGTGCAGAAATAAAATCGCTGAAACAATACGTTATGAAAACTGCTCACCAGTCTAACTGAAGTTCTTCTTAGCGTACCTGACTAAAAAGGGTAGCAAAATCTCTCTAAGTCAACGTAGCCCTCGAAAGAGTTTTTCATGAAACTTTCATAGAAACTTAGAAGGATCTATCTTTAGCAATGTCTACTATGATTTTATATTTTTAAAATTAAATTTATAATTTTGTGTCCATTTTTGTTCAATTTTTCTTTCGGATTTAAAACTTTAATCATATTGCTGTCTCAAAGAACTGTCACTTTTGAAAAGGAATAAAACAAATGGACGAATAAAGCTTTTAGAAAACGAAATGCAAGTATGAAAATATCTGTTCCACAAATGTTTCCTACTTTCGACTAACCTGTTCAGAAAAGTTTTCAGTTGAAACACAAGGGTTTAGTTTCGTGAACTATTACTTACTTTATTGCACGATTGTATCTGATGGGTCCCGCCGTTATAATATAGGATAGCACTGTTGCCACTCTCTGAGGGTGTCAGAGGATTTGGCCGCTATAGCGTAACGATTTTGATGTATACCTATGCTATAAGGTAACGATGATCTGTATTCACACCTGCATTCGCAGAGAGAGAAGAGAACACAAAAGAGAACAGCTGTGTGTAACATTTGATGTTACTGTGACTGCTGTTCGTTTACCATTGATTGTAATTCTCATAATGTGACTCTTTTCACTGTGTAAAGCGAAAGATTTTTCTCTCACCATAGAGTTTTGAATCTCATTTGTACTAGAGTCATCACAAATCTCAGTTAATTTATTTTTATGTATTCTTTGACTTCTCCAAATGAGAATTTAGGTAAACAACGAAGATCTGTCATGGTATTTATTGAAATACCACTCATTAGAATTTGATATTCTATTATAAAATGATTGTGTAATCGATGGCGAACACTACAGTACTGGCAGAGAGAATATGGTGTTGACAGAGAAAAGAGAATATGTTTAGACAGACGGAGAGAATGTCTATACAGACAGACAACTGTTCTCTTTTGTCTTATTTTCTCTCTCTGCGAATGCAGATCATCGTTACCTTATAGCATAGGTATACATCAAGTGAAATCGTTACGCTATAGTGGCCAAATCCTCAAAAATAGGTTCATTGACTTCAAGTGTCTTCATTGTATTCAATAGAATAACTAAAAAGTTAGTTATAAAGGTATACACTGAAAAAATTAAAGTGAAATTTCATATAGGTTTCCTGGAAAACTAGACTCACGTCATACTGGAATATCCGCAAATATCTACGTTTGTGCACTTTGGTTCTCTCTATCGAATGACGTTTACCCGAAATGTTCACCTAGTTTCTAGTTTCTAGCTTTCTAGAAACCCTACTACCGAGCATTTTGGAAAGAATTTTCTGCTAGACAAAAGAAAGAACACGTCGAGAAACCCTTACAGGCCAAAAATGAGAAAAAGCGTAGTGGAGTTGGGTTTCCAATGTATCACACCTGTAGCTCTTTCTGACACGCTCAGAGAGTGGCAATAGCCATTCCATATAATATATCACTACTAAAACGTTCTTTGGTCCAATTCTAGCGGGAACTGACTCCGCTCAGACTCACAAAATATATGGATAGTTTCAGCAGGATTCTGATTTTCTAGAGATCTAGCTTTTCACACTTCTGGTAGAATTTCTACAAGCACCTCTCAGAATTAGAAACTTCTTTAGCTAGTCAAAGCAGTTTTCAGAATCCTTTTAGCTGTGATGACCGGGGAAAAAAATTAGAAATTAAGACGTACGCACAATTCTGGACTGCACTGCATATACCGATACATATGTTTTTGCAATTCACAGGTTTACTTCACGAGTAAGCTTGATAGAATCTACTATAAGTAATTTAGTAGTTAAAGTAAGTGTGTTTAACGATTTAATATGGTTTAACATTAACGATTAATAACTTACCTTACACGCATTACGATAGTTCCGAACCGTTTTTATTTGTTCTCTGTGATGAATATTCGTATCTGTCAGCAACAAGGTGCTTTGTACCACTAATATGATTTTCCATTGAGAATTACATGGTTTGATGAAATCGAAGTGTCTCCTATCGTCTTTCACCTTTCATTTATATCGTTTCATAATCAACCAGTGGTTGTGCAGCTTTAAACTTGATTAGCAACCGTTTGATCCAAGGATAGATTTTATTTTGCGATTAAAAGCATTTATTTCAACTCTAATAAGTATGATTAATTCATTTCTTCTTCATCTCGAACTCTTCTGCTCTCGGATAGCTGGTCTGGAATTATGTTGCTGACGGTTTCAATGATATACTTCTTGATTTTATGCGTAAAGGAAAACTTTTATTTAAAAAGTATTATCAAGATTATAAAACAGCTATTTTCGATATTAAGTGAAATGCCGGTGTTGCCGATGATTGTCAATGTATATACCCAAGCGTCAAAAATAAATCTAGTATCGCCCGATTCATCTAGATTACTAGATTTTTACTCGATTGCAACTACTGTGTAACGACAGTAGAAATCTAGTAATTGGGCAATTACTAGATTTTTTCTAGTTGCAACTATTGATTTATCGCCCGATAATCGATCGATTCAACTATTGCTAGATGCATCTGCAGACGCATCTAGTTAAAAGTCCCTTTTCCAACTAGTAATCTAGATGACAACTAGTCGGATATCGCCCGATTACAGACGAAATGTATCTAGATTTTTTCATAGGTGATATTTGCTTGGGTATTTCTTTAAAAATAAACTAATGATCTTCTACAAATTTCTTCGCTTTCTATAACATTTTGTAATAAATCCGTATAAAATTTTACCAGAGATGTTGCTTCATCGAACTCCAATCATACCATAATACGACCATGATTTTGTTTCATATCCGATAGTTTTCTTATTAATTTACTAATATCTCCATTTGCTTTCATTAACTTTTGTGATTCTTCCACATCATTTTGTAGTTTCTTTGCTGATAAACCTTTGAAAAATTGTATTAATGGTGGTACTGCAGCACCAAAAACAAGAACATCGCCACTAATAATAGCTGCTTCAATGGGCAGAGCCCATGACATAACTACTACAAGTACCTGAACCAATACACACAATACCAGCCACAAATGACTTCAGAAGACCTTTCGTACCATTTGCTCGATAATCATCGTCGACCATCGTTAAATGTAATAATACCACGTTCAAGTTCTTCACATTTTTTTAATATGTCACCTGGATTCAATTTCTCTGCCATTTTCATTAATGACGAAATATCGATACATCGATGTTCTTCGGTATCAGTGGAATGAATTTCTTCTAGTTTTTCAACTAAAGGTTCAATGAGTGGAACAGACGTTTCACAAAACGAACGTGCGCTGTTTATCAAATCAATATATTCACGACGTAAACGAATAAATGTTTGCCGATGTTTCAGTTTCAGTAGTTCAACTTTCTCTATTTGAAGTTGGTTAAACAAATCCGATAAGAAATCTTTGATAGTACGGTACAATTCCCGTGGATCATATTGAGAAAAGAAAGACGCAAATGAAAATTTGCTGAATGACATAACTAGAAATTTATGAAGAAAAACATAACTAGAAACTTTTGGATGGTGGTTCCCCAAAACTAAACATAAATCAGGTGTTTGATTGTGTACATATTTCAGAATATGGTGAGCAGATTTACCTTTCGTCAAATTTTGTCTGGCAATTCTTGTATTCTAGTAAGTAAGTTGTAATCCGAGTCAAGCAAACGATTAAAATTCAATTGAGAAATTCTTATTTATATAAACTTTTCATAAGGTTGGAAAAAACTCACACCCGCTCATTCTTTTTCTTTCTAGAAAACTGTTCAACCACGTAAATATTCAAGTTGGAGAAAGCCAACTGCGTATACAGTGCTTTTCTTTTTGATTTATACTTTATTACAGAAGAAACAGTAATCAAATCGGGCTATGCTCATAGCATGGCACTGGAAAAGAGGCACTTCTTTTTTCATGCTGCTCTTAGAATTTTTATCAACTGAATGTAAAATATCATGCAAAAAACACGTTTTTCTTCAATGTATCAAAGTAATAGAATGTCCATGAGTGCGGTCGGAATAGTCAATCGCTGTCAAAAGACTCGGGATGTACTGTAACAGAACGATAAAACATAAGACAATAAAATATTTTGGAAGAAAAACTAAAAGTCCGCACGGATGATTTTTTTTGAATCATAATCGAAAAAACGAGTTGAGTATCTATAATGCCAAAGAAGTTCTCAAAAGAGTTTAAGCAAGTCGCATTTTCAGTTATATGAATCAATGAAATGTAGGGTTTGTTGAATCCGAATATTGTGGAGCTTTTCAAGAGCTATTTTTCTGTACTAAAGACTAGTTGCATCCTCTCTTATCTACGGGATTAAAATGGTTACAACATCAATTATGTTGATTTTGAGGTGTTTTGGGGCACGTATTTGACGTATAAAGGATTGAGCTAATGATATATATTAATAAATTTAATCAGAATATTGTGCCATTATATCTTACGTAAAAAGACCCTAAATTCGAAATGCTCTTGCTAAAGTTCTAATTTCGTGCGAAGTCGTTCTCTTAATGAAATGCCCCTGGAGCAAATTTTGTAGAGCATCTAACGAGCTTTTCAGCAGTAAACAATTTTTTCTTCTAATTACTTTTGCTCGCGTAAAAAGAGCAAAAAACAAATGTAACGCTGTTACAAATTTTTTTGTCACACCATTTTAGGGCACTCAGCGTTCTTCAAACAACCTCATACTTATAGCTTGCGTACTTCTAGCCTTCCTGAAGATATTCCACTTGCAAACAAAGTTCCAAAAGGTGCCGCAGGTTTTTAAATAGCGTCGGAAGTTCAAATTTGCAAGCAGCTCTTGTGCCTCGACTGAGAAACATTTCTCAAAACAAAACGAGGCATTTTGCAGAGAATTGAACTCTCTATTCGACAGTATATTTTTAAAATTATTTTACAAAAGTACCGACGAAGAAAGTCTTTCAGGCTTCAAACTTTCGCGAAATAAGGTCATTTCGTCTTTACGCAGTGACAAGAAAACAACTGTCTCTTTTATTCTTCGCTCCTTTTCAGATCCTACTACGTTCTGGTCGTCTTTAAATAGATACAGAACATCTAAACAAAATACTCCTCATTTCATTTCTGACAGTGATAGGATATCTTCTTCTTCTCTTGAGACCTGTCAAAAAATTTAATAAATTTTTTGTCTCGTGTTATACTAATTACAACGGACCATTGCCATCTCCGAATACCACTTATTCTGGTCAAACTCTCAATTCCGTTATAATAACTGAAGAATTAGTCTCAGAGGCTATTAGTAGATTACGTGATACTTCTAGCGTAGGCACTGACGACATTCCTACTCTTTTCTTCAAACTGTGCACGTCCTTCATTTCTAAACAGTTAGCGTATCTTTTTCAACTCTCACCTGATAAAGAAACTTCTCCTGATAAATGGAAAACGTCCTTAATTACTTCCATTCACAAGAAAGGGCCTGTTGATTCTATTGATAACTATAGGCCAGTTTCTCTTTTGAATATCGTGAGTAAAGTTTTTGAGAGAGTCATCCACAGAGAACTTCTTGATCACCTCTTGACTAACCAACTCCTGTCTGCTAACCAGTTCGGTTTTAGACCGAATGCTTCGACCACCGATGCTTTGCTATTTGTTGCGAACAGATTCTTTGACAATGCTTCTAATAATAAAATCAGTATTGATGTGAGTATCGACCTAGCTAAGGCTTTCGATCGCGAACCGCACCTCGTCTTACTATAAAAACTAAAATCCGTCGATGTAGACGATAAACTTCTCAATTGGTTTATATCTTATCTAAAGGGTCGCTCACAATATGTAAAGATAGGCACTACTCTTTCTAACGTAGCATATATTCTTTCTGGTGTGCCTCAGGGGTCTATTTTGGGACCCCTGCTCTTCCTCATTTTTATCAATGATCTGTCTCCGCCTACGTCGTCATTAGTACTGTATAGTTTGTTTGCTGATGACCTGTATTTGATCTGTACCTTCGCTAAACAGGATAGTTTAAATACGGTCAAGCAATTTGTTCAAAACGAAATTGATCGTATTACTAACTGGTGTGATTGCAATTTTATGTCCTTAAGTTCTGACAAGTGTCATTGGACATATTTCTCTTTGTCTGCTAACCCTCCTACCACTCTCAGTTTTAGCATCAACGGAGAATCTCTCAAATATGAAAAGACGCCCAAAGTTTTGGGTTTGTATTTTTCACACGACCTAAGCTGGAAACCTCACTTTAAAATAACTGCTTTAGCTTGTCACCGCATGTTAGGTGCCATAAACAGAACATTTGCTGAAGCTCCGGCTTTTCTGCGTCTTCACCTTTACAAAACTTGCGTTTTGGCTAAACTGGACTATGGCAGCGCGGTCTTCGATACTAAATTTATTACTCACACTCAACCCTTTGAGTCTGTTCAAAAACTTGCAGCGAGATTGATAACTCGACACTTCGATTATACCACTGATAGTGTTCAACTTGCCAATGATGTAGGCCTTCCTAAATTGACTATTCGCCGTCTCTACTTTCGTCTAGTCAACTACTATCGTATTTTCCGTCGTTTATGCACTTTAAATAGCGACGAGCTCATTACGCAAACACCAGTCAGTATTAAGAGATCTGAGAGATTTAATGTTAATCTGAATCCTTTGTAGGTCGTTGTACCGTTTACCACTCTAACTAATGTTCAGTATTCCTTTTTCTATTCTACTTCTTCTGATTGGAATAATCTACCATCGTATGTTGCTTGAGCACCTACTGTAATGCCTTTTAAAAGCAATTTAAACTTGTACTTGAGTTTACTTTAATCTGTTATCTACATATGTGCTATTTTTCTATCAGGTGTATGTCTAGTACAACTCTTTTGTAAATATTGATAATGAATAGATTAAATTTTAAATATTGACTCTTTTTACAAAAATTCCGTATTTCTGAGAGAGGAGCCTTAAATTTTATTGAAGCTATGCACTCCACATCTAATAGTCAGGATACCAGTTGTTCTGTTGACCGAGTCAATCTTTCTTTATGACTCTAATAAAATTTAATCGAGATAGCCTTGAATTTCTCTACAAGACTCGATAAAATACTTGAATACAGTATTTACGCTCCCTCTATGGCAATAAACCGTTATTATCAATAATGACAACTCAATAAGCGATAGACACTATGCGAAGGATTGAAAAATCGATCTTTTTTAGTGCTTGAAGTTTCAAAGTGAAGTGCATTGGTCGATTAAGAAATTATTTTACAGTAAAGAAAAGCTCCGCACCTTAAAACGTTCATTCCTATTAGGCACATTTTCTCTGTAGAAGACTGGTCTTTAGCGTTCGTAGTTTTGTCATTCGTCTATGAAATCCTCTAAATATTTTGAAACTTCGCTAAGGAAATAAATATATTGGGTTTCTATAACCGGTGATAGATTACACTTATTTGTTGAATTCGGTCATGACACTTGAAAACAATTTTCCTTAATGTTTCTCTTGTGAATATGAGCTATGAACACTTTTTATCAGTGGTAAAAATATCAGCTCATTTAGTCAAGATATGATAGAGATATTCAATTTTTTGTTTGTCTAGTGATTTATTGGACACTCTATATATATTTCTCATCTAGAATAGCGAACTTTGATAAAGAGTAAGAAAACCGACGTTCTATTGACATTCAACGCGTGATCACAACGAATTTAGTATCCCAAGTAAGTGTCTTAGATCTTAGTCAAAGAGATACCGACCCATATAGTTCATACATCAATAATGAACAGCAACTCTCCTTTTCATATGCCATCGGCAAGTGCAATCATGCAAAAAGAACTTGTCCGAATTGTCTATGAATCCACATTCCGATAAGAAAAATATTGTCCTTTCTTTTACGAACAACATCGGTGAATGGTAAATTATTTTGCAAGAGCTCAAGAAATTCACCCTTCCTCTGGTACATTGGACGCACATCTTTTACATATTGACAAATGGATGTACGAAGATTAGACATTGTATTAACAAGATAAAGAATATCTGATAGATGCTCCACCCGCATTGAAATCACTTCGCATTGTCGTCCCAATGGCCAACTGGACAATGTGGAACAATGTGACATGACATTTCAAGAATAAGATTTTAAACTGTTCTCTAGAAACAGAAGTTATGCGCTGAGGAGAACAGGCTTGGCCTACGAGAGGATACTACTAGAGGCGATTTTAGTATGCATAATTGGTGACAAAGTCCACAAACCGTCACCAGGTTTTTTTACCAACCGTCTTCCCTTGGAATGGTCGCATCGCTGTACGTATAACGGAGAGTATAGCAGAAAACATGTCTCTGGTAGGACACATGACCTCGGCTTTCTTTGCCGACTGCTGCTTATAAAAGCTAGAGGAGGTGATCCCGCAGTGCATCGTGAAAAGAAACTGTACCATTATGCCGTACCTCTACATCCTTTCTGGCGAAACAAAGGCCATTGCTCGTGGTTTAAGGTCATTGTGGACCAACTTCAGTTTTGCTGCCAAAGTAACAATACGCGGAAGTAAAGCGTTGACTTCCGATACATGACCATATCGAATAGGAAGAAGAGCGATTATGGCCAGTTCTTCATTCATTAAGCATGTCTAGACACTGACTGGTTGAAAATGATCGAAAAAATCCGATAAACTATCGCATTTTCTAGGAACGCTAAACATTTGTTTCTAGTCAAAAGTTTAGAAACATTTTCAGAAACACATTATTCGATGCCGTTTTGTCACTAATTAATATCCTATAATTTGTTTTCATAAAAAGCCTGGGCTTGAATGCTAAAAAAATGAACTTCTAATAAGGTCGCCAGGATTCTGCTTGCTGAATGCTACGTTTGTTTCTCAAATTTCGCCATGTTCTCACCCACTGGACATATTGAAAGCTAACTCATCTTGTGCTGGATCGTACACTCTACAAAACGCCGTAAAGAAATATATTGACAATTTAGAAATGACTTTGAAAATTCTGAAATGCTCCAAAGTTTCATGATTTTAAAAAGTGCAAAAATTGTGAAATATTTATTTTCAAAATCCATTGAAAAATGTTTTGAAAAATGTTTTTTGTTTAGGTGGCGCTTTCTCACGGATTATCTAAGATCCTTATTTAAAAAATTTTATATCCCCGACGGTGTGAGGTTTGAACGTCCAAAAATGTTTGCATTATTAGAGTTTCATGTGCAGAATTGAATGCGAACATAAAAGGTATATATTAATTTTTTTCACGTTTTGACCTCACAAGCGGATACTCAAGGAGCTCATGCACTCTCTCTTAAAATACATTCACGATATTAAAGGAAAATGATAAGAACGATTTTTTTGCGCCTTTTACACCTTTGTAGGTTCTAATGAGAGCGACATTCTGTTTCGATCACGGAGATATCTACACTTTCTTTCGTTCTCTTTCTCTGCTTGCTTTATCTCAACTTTGTTTTTCTTGGAAAAAAGTCATTCTGTAATGAGCGATAGATATAATCCACATACTTTCCTTTTTAACTCTTTTTTAACTACAAAAGAAACGTCAACAACTATTGATTAAATCACACAATGGTAAATCACGCAAAGTCGATAAATAAAATACTGTCAATCATTAATTTATTTGGTAAGGGATTGATCAATACCCTAGTGCAATTTCTTGCTTCGAGAAGAGCAAAGAAACAAGAAAAAATAAGAAACTAAAACATTTCTTGGGCAAAATCTTGTCCAAGAAAGGTTTCTTTAATTCCTGTCATTTTTTGACTCAATCAAGACCAGAAGTTAATATCTTGGGGATAAAATTAAATCTTAGGAAATAGTCCTATTATAGAGTCCTATTACATATTACGTGTCCGGTACAGGAATCCAAGCGGTATCATCACTCCGTCTGTAGTGCCTGATTCTGCAAATGTATCTAGTCTAGTTTTGGTGACGATATAGTGACTTCATTCAAACGCAATTAATACCGCCGTTTGATGCGCAAGAGAGTTATAGCCTTGTTTTTTTTCTATGACGTTTTTGTGCTGAGATGTAGTGTCTGCTATAGAAACACCGATAAAGCCCTTGAGTGATTTTCTAACAAAAAGTCCATTTTTCACCCATATTTCATGAAAATGCCGTCGAATAGGTTAATACCATTGCACATCTAGTGGAGACAGTTTGGGATCTCTGGAAAACTTCGCGAAGTAAAAGCTGATTTTAATGAGATTTTTTAAGCCATTTTCATTATTGTTTTGTTAAACCGAAGAATAAGACTTGTGAAAACTTTGAATTACTAGCATCTTATATTTCTTCTTTATTTTTAATTTAAATTATAAACAATAGGAATGTTTCTAGTGTTTAATAAAGCACCATCACAGTGAAGTATTAATGTTATTGCATTACGTTTCTGTGAATGATTTGCTTGAAAAAATTCACTATAACGTGCATAACCTTTTGGAAAAAATTCATTTTTATTTAAAATATTATCATTACGATATACTATACTTTCTAACTGCGATTTAATATCTAAAGTGACAATCCCAGTACGTTTCAATGTTTTCTTGTTCAATGACTTATTGAACAAAAAAACATTGGAACGTGACCTTCGACTTGGTATGGTACATTCAACTTGGGCATTAAGATAGAATGCTTTGCAAAAAGGTAGAGAGTCCAGCTGTTACGCTATTTGTTTTGCAATTTGAGTGTCTGGCTCAATAAAACACAGCATCTTTCTGCATATATACTATGTATTGGAGCAAATTAAATGTTGATGATCAATTCATTGTTTGAGTACCATGACTTTCCGACTTCCTCTTCGGGTCACAGCAGCAAATCTTCCATTCGACTTCATTCTACTTTGTATGCTTTTCCAAGTTTTCTAAAAGATGTTCTCTTTAAAACATGGGCGAGTACTCGAAAGCACTTTCATCGTACGAACGATCACTTGAAATAAAGAAAATAGCTCTCCCTCCGAATCATCCCTCATTGGCTGGTTCCTACGACAACATCGGTATGGTGTATGGTAACATGGGCGAGTACTCCAAAGCACTTTCATCGTACGAACGAGCACTTGAAATGCGGAAAATAGCTCTTCCTCCGAATCATCCCGACTTGGCTGCTTCCTACAACAACATCGGTTCGGTGTATAATAACATTTTTCTCTCTGAAAGACACTTATATATTGACTCAATGCGATTCTACCTACTGCTTCAACACTGACTGGATTGCACATTGAAAGATAAACAAAAGAAAGTTGGCAACAGTAAGTAGAAGCAAGAGTTCATAGTCCTTTTGTTTCTATTGAAGTTAGGCAACCAACCAACAACAATACCGTTGAGCGTCAATAAATACCATACGTATTGATGCCGGAGAAAGAAAAATCGACGACGAAACAAATTTTCGCATATCACCGGATCGAAAAATTTTAAAAGCTTGTTCGGTCAAAACCGATTGCAGATTCGTCTTCTCCATGGTTGATTATGCGGTACGCGATAACTTCTGGATCGGGGTACTTTAGAAAAAATTTTCGACATCGTTTTGCCTTTGGTCCCATACGGTAACATTCTGAAAAATTTTTGAGCAAGACCATGGAAAATTTTTTTTCTAAAGTACCCCGATCCAAAAGTTATTGCGTACCACATAATCAACCATGGAGAAAACGAATCTGTAATCGGTTTCGACCGAACAAGCTTTTGAAATTTTTCGATCCGGTGATATGTTTAAACAAAGGGCCTCTTGTGACGATTAGTGTTCACAACGTCTACTTCCAATGTACAGTTTATCTCTTTAGATAGGTATTTTGCTTTGGTCCGCTCCGTTCTTTCCTTTTTGATCTTTTTGATGTTCGTTTTCTTTTTCGTTTTGTTCTTATCTTTCGACATGTAGCAGATATATTAGTTTTTAGTGTCAACAGGTTGTAATTTTTTTTTAAAGAGTGGTCGAAATAAAAGTATAATATATACATACACTACGTATTATAAAGCACACATACAATAACCTGTCAAGGACTTATAAGTAGAGGAAATATAAGTCTCTCACACCCCTCTCTTTCTGTCTTCGCACTGGGAATTTCACTTCTGACAACCAACATCCATACTCAGATCTTTCAAAAGTACGCAAACGATGGGTTGCAGTGCTTCGGTGCCAACAGTTAGTTCTTTCAATGCTCATCATCTCACGTCTTCATCATCACCACCGACGGCACTACCAAAAAATTTGGAGATTGCAAAGCGTGATCGTCGACGCATTGAACCACAAGAACTTATTCAAAAGTTTCTGTTGGTTTGGCTAGACGCATATATAGATGAATCTACTGATGATTTTCGTAATTCAATGAAACAATTCCGTCGCACAGTTAATACAATTGAAACATTTCAAGATACCGACGAATGCATCAATTATATAACGAAACTTGAAAATAAAAAAGTATTTCTCATTATTTCTGGTGCTCTGTGTCAAACTATTGTACCAAATATTCATCAACTTGATCAAATCTACTCAATCCATATATTTTGTCGAAAACCATCGAAGTACCAAGAATGGGCGAACGACTGGTCTAAAGTGAAAAGTATTGTCACGGAAATTACTTCAATTTGTGACTCAGTTCGACAATCGGCTCGACAATGTGACGAAGATTTGGTCATGATTAGTGCTGTATCATCATTAAATCAAATTGAGCCGTCATTTATGTACACACAATTATTTAAAGAAATCCTTTCTGAAATCGAATTTGATAAAAACAAAGAAATCAATAAACTAGCTGAATACGCCCGCGAAAAGTATACCGGCAACGATGAACATCTAATGATGATCGATGAATTTGCCCGACATTATCAAAATGATTCAAACGAGAACAAAGCTATTTGGTGGTATACACGTGAATGTTTCACATACCACATGCTCAACAAAGCCCTGGGAAGTCTTCAAGTTGAAACTCTGCTCAATATGGGTGTCTTCATTCTTGATCTTCACCAAAATATTACCAAACTTCATTTCGAACAATCAAATAAAGCACCCACGACAACAACAATTACTGTCTATCGGGGAAAAACAATGAGCAAGCAGGATTTCGAAAACAAAATTAAACCAGATGGACTTATTTCATTCAATAACTTCTTATCCACAAGTGAAGATCAGAAAGTAGCCACACGTTTTGTAACAGATGCACTACAATCAAACAACAAAAACAAAATAGGTGTTCTGTTCGAAATGACAATTGTGCGATCGATTTCATCGGCTCCATTCGCCGCAATACATGGAATTAGTTTTTTCCCAACAGAAAGTGAAATTCTTTTTTCAATGCATACTGTTTTTCGTGTTCAACAAATCAAACACATAGAAGAGAATGGCATAAAGCTACAACAAGTAAAACTAACACTCACCAGTGATAATGATGATCAACAGCTCAATGCACTTACCCAACACATCCGAGACGAAATCACTGGAACAGGATGGCAACGAATGGGTTCGCTGCTATGGAAAATGGGGGAGAACAATAAAGCCGAACAAGTCTATACAATGTTACTGGCCAATGCCACCGATGACAGTGATAAATATAACTGTTACAACGAACTTGGAATCATCAAGCAGAATCAAGGAGAATATCGTATGGCCGTTGACTTATACGAAAAATCCCTCGCTATCAAACAAAACACTCTCACAACGAATCATCCCTCATTGGCTGATTCCTACAACAACATCGGTTCGGTGTATGATAACATGGGTCAGTACTCGAAAGCACTTTCATCATACGAACGAGCACTTGAAATAAAGAAAATAGCTCTCCCTCCGAATCATCCCGACTTGGCTGCTTCCTACAACAACATCGGTTCGGTGTTTGATAACATGGGCGAGTACTCGAAAGCACTTTCATCGTACGAACGATCACTTGAAATACAGAAAATAGCTCTCCCTCCGAATCATCCCGACTTGGCTGCTTCCTACAACAACATCGGTTCGGTGTATAATAACATGGGCGAGTACTCGAAAGCACTTTCATCGTACGAACGATCACTTGAAATGCGGAAAATAGCTCTCGCTCCGAATCATCCCGACTTGGCTGGTTCCTACAACAACATCGGTATGGTGTATGATGACATGGGCGAGTACTCGAAAGCACTTTCATCGTACGAACGATCACTTGAGATAAAGAAAATAGCACTCCCCCCGTATCATCCGACTATTGTGAATGTCAAAAGAAACATTGAAAATGTAAAAAGGAAATTGTAATGCTTTTTGTGAAAAGATAAAATAAAATGGTTTACAGGCAGGTAATCGCGCTCACCTGCTAAAATTGGTTTTTGCGTACGCGCGACTAGAGATATGCCCCCGCCCCAGGTCCCGCGTGGGTATGTACAGTAGACAAAGCGAACAAAATAGGTAGGATGAGCAGTCAGAGTACGTACTAATTAGTATAACATCTAAAACACGTATATATGTATACGGAAGAATAGATGGTATACTAAGGATGCTTTAGATTGAATGCTAAAAATGCCGTTCTACTTGCACTTCTGGACATTTACCAACAGAACGACGGGCCTCTGTAGTAGTGGTACTATAGAGCCATTCTACTAGCTCGTAAACAGGTAGAAGAATAAGAAGAAACGTAATAGAAGAAGAGATAAGCGCAAGAGCGAACGAACGAAACGCAGCGAAGGACTAAACGTACGTAGTAGATTTGTAATAGATTATCGACCGCACGACATCATATTGTTGTCTTTACACATATCAATTTAATTGTATGCGGTATAATTTTCGGCGATTTGTATATGAAGAAAAAATCATTCCGTAGTTTCTTTACCTAATTGTTCATTTCTGAGCATGCACCGGTTATAACCGAAGACTTTCATCTTTTTTCTGCAACGGATTGCATGAAAGTACGCACATTGAAATTTTCTGTTCCAAACAGTGTCGCTCAAAAAGCCTTTCTCTTAGTTGTTAGATACATTCATTTGCTAAACGCTTTCTGCCAGTCATGTGATCATTAAATGATCCATCTAGGGATCACGTCAAAATAAATTCCGGCTGGTCGTTATTCCGTCAGTATTCGTCTATTACTCTACTCCACTCGGCTGTTATTCTTGGATTATATTAGCTCGGATGTTTAGGGGTAGCCCTTCCCCCTGTAACGGTCACGGAGGCTCCGTTACATGAAAACTGCGGAAAATACATGGAAATCTTAATCCGTCTGTAAGGATCAATGAGCCTGTAACTATATGCATACTAGAAACAACTTGTAATACAGTCCCGAACCTTTTTGTGTACGTGTTCCATGGAAATGAGAGTGTGGTTGTTGCTATACTCCGAATGGCTGTACTCCATGTATAGAAAACATCCATCACTCTAATCCTTCCAATACTTCAACTTTCGTACTTTAAGCGCATAAATTATTTAGAGAAAAGATTCGGATCGAAATTATTAACCATTATTGTTTTCCGGTACGAAAACAATAATTGTTATAATTTAATTTCCATTATTGATAATTGTTTCTTTAGTTACAAAAAGTTAACTTGTAACCAACTTTTNCAACTTTTATTTTCGATCATTATGTACATTTTTTGTGGTCTAGTTCAGACCTAATTATTATTTAGTTTTCTTTCTTTAACTTTTTCAACTTGTCAAATTCTTGAGAAAAATAAAATATTAAAAAAAAAATTTGATTGAGCGAAGTTGTACAGCGTTTGAATACGTACACCGCTTACAAATTGGTGCCGCGACCCGGAAAGATTTATAAATAATTAATCCGCTCTTCTCACTCTCAAGAACTCTGATAAATTTTTGGTGATCAATATCTACGAACAACACACACAACACATATCAACATACAGCATCACCTCACTTTCATCCATATCCGTTAATTGTTGCTTGTAATATATTGTACAATATTAAAAAAAAAATAAAAAATAAATAAAAAGACAAGAACAATAGGAATTTTACAGTATATAAATAATTCTGTTAAGAGAAGACGTTCCTTCGCTGTTGCCCTCGTTGGAGAAGAAATCGTCCAGAATCTCAAAGTACGATGTCCGAGTCCGCAAAATCTAAAGCTGCTGCTAAGACTCTTGATGAAGTTCAAAAAGTATTAAATAGTTTTTCTCAACAACAACTGCTTCCTATCCGCAGTAAATCAGAGCAAAACCGCTGTCAAGCCTGGTCTAACTCAGATATATCCACATCCGCATCTGCGACATTCACTGCTTCAACAGTTGCCACCGTCGTTCCTGCTGCCGTAGCATCTGTATCATAGCTTCCTAGTCATCTGCAAGCTCTGACATTGATCACTCAACAATTAATCGCGTCAGGAGCTGGTATAGCACTTTCTGCTTCAACCTCGTCATCCAGAGCTGCCCTGGAACAACATCAGGAATATTGTCCTACGATAGTGGATTCACAACATGTATCATTTCAACAACATCCATTATCAACAAATTCATATAGAAAAACAATAAATGATCCATTACCACCATCGGAACCACGACTCAGACCCGTGCTAATGATATCACATACAACTTTGTTGATAGAACAAGTTCGTCAATTCCAACATGAACTTAAACAAGAAAAATCAAAAGTTGGCCGCCTTCAGGAGGAGAATGCAACTCTAAAGCATTCCAGCTCGTCTACATCAAATAAACACTCATGCACTCAAACAATTGATGAATGTTCCTCTGGAATTTGGGATGAAATAAATCTTAATCCCAAAGCTGCCATCAAGAAGTCAAAGAAATCGAGAAAATCATTAAAGAAACTTGATCGACGTCCATCACCATCCGTATCAACTGGTGATGAAGAGATGACACCAAAACATCATTCACAAAAATCAACAAAAATTTTACAACCACCTACGACACCTATGTTGAATCTAACGATGTCCATACCCGATAATATTACAAAATTCGGAGGGACAACAAAAGAGGCTTCAGGCAGATTCATTATAGAATATCAACAAAAAGCCAGAACTGCCTATGGATGGTCAGATCAAGCAACACTCAACGGAATTAGTTTGGAATTCCGGAATTAGTTTGTAAAACTATTTCAAGCTCGGTTTCAATCACCCGAACTAATAGAAGCTCTGAAAATCGAAAGAAATCGTTGCATGCAGCAGTCAGATGAATCTGTAGCAGATTTCTATCAGAGGTATAAGGGACTAGCATTAGAAATTGATTCTAGAATCTCAGAAAAAACGCTCAAAAGGCACCTTCTTCCGAAGCTACATCTGTATATCCTTCAATTAATGGGCGGAGTTGATGCTGATAAATTAGCGCTGCCAGATCTGATGAGAACAGCAGCTAAAGTTGAATTACACATGCTTTAACGAAAAAAGGAGCTCAACAGAGAACTGGCGAATTAGCGGAATCCTCTATGGCAATGAAGCCTTCGAGAAATCAGGCACAACGAGAAATCTATTCATATACAACAAAAAGATGTTCAACTCATCCTGAACGCATAGTAGCTGCCATTGAGTCGAAAACGCTGCCACCAACCAGTTCTCTAGAGCAGCCATCATTTTTGTCACCTCTAAATCAACAAAAATCTCTAACGAATAATGCAGATACTAATAAGATTAATCAGGAGTGGTGGAATCGAGGACAGAACACGTTAACATTGTCTAAAATCGGCTCCCGAGAACAAACAAATTACCGCAAAATGTTGAGCAAGCTTTGCTCTGTCTGCTTGCAGATTTTCATGGTAAAGACAGTTTAAAATTCCTGATAAAAACCAATGTCAAACGTAAATTTAACGATGACACTCCCAGCTGTTTTTAATTTTTCCTCTTTTTACGCGCAAACAGCAGTCCAATGTTGCGCATGTTTATTACACATATTTAAAACGGATTTATGGTCAGCTGCAATGTTTGGACTGATTCATTTCGTTTGCATTTGTTGAGTTTTCATTGGAAGGTAAGTGTTTTCGATACTAGGAAAAAACTTTTCAGGCACTTTCTGAGTCGCTGGATGGACAGGTGTTATTAGAACAAGCTCAGGATATGATTAATGTTGTCCACGAAACGTGATTATAACGTGGAAAAAATCGAAAAGTCTTTTGTTAATAGGTTTTCCAGAAACCCTTTTGAAAACCTGAGGATTCTGTAAAATTTGTTTCCAGATCTCCCATGAATAGGATATAGAACAGCCTAAATACTCCAGATTCTGAACTTTTGAGCTTGTTCTGATGCTTTTTGGGTGACTAGTGAATTTTTTAATATTAGGTGAAAACAGCCTGAAAACCCTAATTTTCGTAAAACTGGCTCTCCGGTAGATTTTTAAAACTTTTTCTAAAAATAAATATTTTCATGAAACTCAGCACGGTCAATTACACATAGTCTATCAGTTTTTAAGACTACCAATAGTCAACCTACCGGCAGAGGAGTGCTAAGGCTTCGGGAAAAACGTCCATAGCTCCCGAACCATGGACGTCCAAGATGTCGCTTTGATCCAGTTTTGTAGAGAACACTTCAGGCTATATATCTATAAAACAAAATTCATAGGTTTATATATCAGTTTTCAGAGAACCGAACTGGTTTTCCAAAGATGCTCTAGAAAATCGGCTTCGAAAATTTTTTCGATATCCGTTTTTGCTTATCGAAAGATAGCTTCAAGTCTTGGCTATCAAACGGTGAAAACGACAAGTCTTGATCTTGTGTTTCCTTCAAGTTATTCAATAAATAATGACCGGTTAGAGATTCTCAAAATTAGGTTAGGGACTCTCAAAAATGAATGAAAACGTAGGTTATCGACTATGCTAAATCTCGTGGCAATGTTCGTTTTCAGAACAAAATGTAACAACCGAGTGAAAACCTAAAGGGTGTCCCCTAAGTCACTGAACGACTTTGATTGAGAATAACTTTTGATAGGAGGAAGATGGATATTTGCGGTTTTCGCTATTCGAAAGAGAAGACTTGGAGGACATACTGCGTCATCTATACTGGAAGAAAATGTGACTGTTTTTCAAACTTCTAAAAATTTTTCAGGGTGGACTGAGCCCACCCTAGCCCACCTGTGGTACAATATTAGCGCAAATCACACATATCTGCGTGTTACTTGAATGAGAAAAAAACGCTTATCATATAGGAAAAATTTCCGTTTGGTATTCAAGGAAGTATATAACAAGTATCGACCTATATGTGATACGTTCGACAAAACATGTGAGAGGAGAAAAAATACATTTTCTCATTTGACGTATTCTAGCTTTTGCAGATGTAATCAGCATACGATCCAGACTTGCAGCAATAATAAATGATGATGGAAGTATTGATAGTACACCAAAAACGTAAATAAGTGTACGACAACCTCCTAATGATTAACGAGTATAATTAATTAGACTGGAACCGCGACAAAGTAATTGATAAAGCATTAGTAGATTAATATAAAATAAATTTATTATTGTGTATGCTAAGAGATAGATTATGCATGGATTATTAATTAAATTAATTTTAATGATTGTGATAGATAAACTAAGACATTAAATAGACAGCCAAATTCACCCTGCGGTATTACTATTGGGTAACTATAACGATTGAAACTTAGTCGAATATTTCCCAGATAATTACTATACTTGAATAGTGATGATAACGATACATTTTTCGAATTCATTTTTGTGCGTCTTCGTCTTCTTTCTTAGTTTTAAAAATGAAAAGTTTTGTGTTTGAAATGTCATGTCACTCTTGTACTGCTTCATATAAAGCCATGCAGCAGTAACAGTAAAAAGTAATTTACTGATATTTCTGCACTCAAGAAAAACAAAAAGAACAAAAAAATGATCTAAAGAGTATAATTTCAACTCAAATCATATGAAATCATACGACTTTCATCCATCCAGTATTTAGCTAATAAATCTATGAGAGCAAACTTTTAGAACAACATATTGGAGTTCATTTTGACGCCCAGAAAATTCTATATCTTTCGATATATAAAACATTCTGGTTCTGAGCAGATGTCTGAAAGAACTGTTCTTTTAAAGCCTTAAGGTAGGTGAAAATCATGATATCTGTCGAGTATTTCGACAATTGTTCTATATGGACATGTTTTACCAGTAATTTGAGTCTTCAAATAAAACAAATAACGCTTAGTCAAACTTGATCCATTCAGGTTGATTTTTTTAATTTTGAAAATAAATTAGTTGTTACGATCGGAACTGTAAGGAGGAGGAGAAAATTTGAAAATACTAATAGTGCAAGTCTTCATGGATCACCCGTTAGATTAATGGTATTTTATAGACTAATATATTTCTCAATGTGTTTTATTGTTCGATCGTAAGAGAAACTATCGTTACAATAATAGGAGTGTAAACGAGTTAAACGCGCTTGGCCTTTGGGATTAGTAGGTGGTAGTCTCAACATTCCGGTTACACTAATTTCGCTCTAAATTCAAAAGTTGATAATTAACCTTGAATGTATAAATGCCATGCGATGAAACTATGTTATATATGAGATCATTATATTAAAGTTAATCTGGTACAGACTGACTTAGTTTCAATTATATCAAGTTCTATTTTTTTATACGTTTTTTTTCTTCCATGTATAACGATACCACCTCCTAGTATCAACACATAGAAGGACATTCTGTCAACATCATTCAAGTATACCGTTTACAGAATATCAACGATACATTTGGAAGACAAAAAAAAGAAAATGTATCTACTATATACTCGGTCATTTTTCTAAAAGAAGGATGACGTAATCAATAATAATATGGGATACATTGGTAAAAATAGCAGGAGAAAAAGTAATTTTTATCCATGTATAAAGCAGACGATAACCAGTAAACCTTATATATATCTTTTGCAGTCAATCTTATGTGTCAACAACACAGCATACAAAGAAAATATCAATAACGCGATGAATAATCGACGTTTCCTTAACCCATGACTCTTCCGCTTCTTCTTTCTTTTTCTGGAAAAAAGAAGGATATATTATCTAGCTGCTCTTCTTAAACATACAATTATGTACTTGCTGACCAAAGAAAATATTTTTTTTTCTTAAATGAATCCATAGTCTATATCATAAGCAGAGAAGAGAAGTTGTTTTGTGTGGTTATTGCGTCGATTATTAATAAATTATTACTTTGAGAATAGAGAACTGGAAGTAAGAACTAGAAGACGAACAAACGCACAAAACAACAGCAATCATTTCAAATAAGGCCCTGTCATATAGATAATTAGACATACACACACATTTTGTGCCTTGAAGACAGTTATAAGCAGCCAATATTCATAACAATATAACAATCTTCATAATAATAACGATTCGCTAGTATACTAGTTCCCAATCGGATCAGATTACTACGACAACCGCGACTAAACGTGGTTTGAACAGATTCGACCAATCATACCTGCTATTACTACTGAAACTATTCAAATACAGCCAGCTAATTTAATACAAACACAAGAGACAATTTCAAAGGTGGACGACATCCCAACTTGTCTCAGGAAGTATGGATACACCATGTAATATTGTACCACTGGCTCCGTTGCTTACAGGAAACGTTAGTGGAGTTTCGGACATTGTTCAATCATTACCGGAACATCGAGCATCACGGGTCTCGTCGCTCATATCAACAGCTGATGAAAATTTTGATCAAATCCCGCAACAACCCGCTATTCAACGATTGGTTGTTGGACAAAAATTGGACTCCGTTACAAAAGTACTCCATAATTTACATGAGGAACTACTAAGCCATCAAGTCAGACAAGTCAATCAGCCTACATTAGTACAACAATCTTTGGAGGACATAGTGTCCGTCAATATCGAACAACGACGTATGAAATCTCTTGATGAAGTTATTCATAAGGTACAACAAATTTCTCATCAATTGCTACGGTATCAGGCACGATTAGTGATGCAGCCGACAATCGTAAGTGAATCTTTCGATGATGAAGTTTCGACAAATATTGAACAACGGCGTTTGGCCATAAAATCTCTCGAATATGTCATTGAAAAAGTCAAGAAGATATCTGATGAATTAAAACTGCACAAAACAAGATGTATCATACAGCCAACTTTAGTTGGAGAGGCTTTTGAAAATGAATACTCAACCACTGTTGAACAAAGACGTATTAAATCATTCGATCAAGTAATCCGAACAGTACAAAACATTACTCAAGAATTGCAAGAATATCGAGCACGATCTATCTCACAACCGATGGTGATCGATGTTCCATTTGAAGAGACACCATCAACTCAACTTGAACAAGTAAGTGTATAACCTTCAGAAGACACGTTTTCGAAACAGGAAAAGGTTCGATCTAATCATTATATTTATTGAATACAAGCAAAATAAACTCCATTATAGTACTAAAATATCGAAAACCACGAATGAATTTTATATGGATAGATGTTTGAATACGTGAACTTAAGTTTTAGTTAACTGCAAGTGTAAATTCACTGTTTAGTTAAATGGAAAAAGCTTTAAAGTATATAAAAAGTGGGAATTGACGATTATGAAAAATGCAAGTCCATTTTGGTATTTTTTGTAAACAAATCTATTCTTCTAATAAAACTAACAAATACGTAACATAAAAATATTTTTCTCTACGTTGTTAGGTCGGGCGCTGTCACCAGGTGAAAATCCCTTTCACCGATTGAAAAGTCTAAGTTGATCAAGCAAATAAAACTTTATTTATATTCAACAAAAACCCATCGAACCTACTAAAATACATCGCTATTTATAGCAAAAAATCAAACATTTAAAATGAACAAAATGATGCAACTCTAAATCACATCAAACCAGGATTATCTGGAAACCAATGATGTAATGAAAAGAGATTGAAATCCTATGAATGATGAAATAGTATCTAGAAGAGAGTACAAAACCATTGGTCTGCTGAAATAGATAACTAACATATAATATCGCAAAAAACCGAACGAGATCGAATGTATGACGAAATAGACAAAAAAGGAAAGAGAACCTAAATATGATGAAATGGACAAAGAGACAGAGATCATACATATAATCTCTGTCACTCATCATGTATTTCGTTTATCTCTTTCCGTTCCCTTTTTACTAACAAGAGAACGAAAAGAGATAAACGAAATACATGATGAAACAGTTAAAACAGAATGACCTTTAACTTAGGGAGTGAACGTATTCACTTCCTAACGCCAGCCCCCACCGAGAAGATGAACGTCCCGTTCACAAAAATCACCGCAACATCACAATAAAAAAAATAAAGGAGCTTGATCTTACGAACAGTTGTAGTTAGTTCGTAAAATACCCCGAGTACTTTCATAATGGAAGCATTTGCATATTACCATTAACAAATTAAGGTGTGTCCACTCACCATAAAGTAGAATGATAATCTATCTATATGAAACACCTCAGCCTAGCTAAATTAATCCTCATTATCATTATGAGTAAACACAATTGTTATAACAATTTCCCTTAACATTATCACGTAAATGATATTTGAATAATATGTAATGAGCCCTATCAATCAGTGAAGGCTTTGTTCTGTACACAAGAACTTCTTTTCTGCTGAAGAAATCCATGTTTCCGCAGAAGAACTTCATGCTTACTCCTGAAGAAATCCATGTTTCTCGACAAGAAGTTCGTGTTTTCTACTAAAGAAATATATTTTTGTCAACAAATAGATGTTTCTCCACAAGAACAAGATTTCTACTTGAGAATTCCCTGTGTCTCCACAAGAACGTCACGTTTTCTCCTGCTGAAATCGATCTTTCTGTTCAAGAACTTCATGTTTTCTCCTGAAGAATTAAATGCTTTTCGACATTCGAGAGAAAGAGATTGTTTCTCCACAACTTTCTGCTGCAGAATTCCCTGCGTCTTCACTAAAACTTTACTCGTGTTCCCGTAAAGAAATAGATGTTTCTCCACAAGAACTTCATGTATTCAAAGAAAGTACCAAAAAAAGTAATAAAAGATAGAAATATCGAAAAAGGGGAACTATAAAAACGCTCTGCCAACAAGCAGAGAGGAGACGACTGGGCTTCTCGCTTCGAGTTCTGTTAATATCAAAGATCCCACATAGAGAACTAAAATATTGAAGAACTCATTTTCAGTTCTCTCAACCGCGAATATTTTACCGTCTAAATCAATTACGCGCATGATTTCAAGTAAGTCAAGCCCGTTACTCATAAAGTGCAGCTACTTGCTGCAAGAAAGATCATCCATAAGTTTTTTGGAGTTGGTTACACCATGTTTTACTCGGACTTTTCTTCGAGAACATGATGTGATCAAGTTTTGACATAGAAAAATCCCCATTTCTTGTCCAAGATAACAACTTTCTGGATCGAAGAACACTGGAAAACACAGGTTTCAGGGTCACGAAAGCTCCGAAGTTCTTTCAAGCAGCTGAGGCGTTGATTTCGCCGAGTCAATTTCAGTGAACACGCGCATCATATAGAAAAGTGATATGAAAGCTTGAATAAGTTGAACAATAACTTCATAGCACTACATAGCAATTGAGGAATATTGAAGAACTCAGCGAATGTATGACGAAATAGACAAAAAAGGAAAGAGAACCTAAATATGATGAAATGGACAAAGAGACAGAGATCATACATATAATCTCTGTCACTCATCATGTATTTCGTTTATCTCTTTCCGTTCCCTTTTTACTAACAAGAGAACGAAAAGAGATAAACGAAATACATGATGAAACAGTTAAAACAGAATGACCTTTAACTTAGGGAGTGAACGTATTCACTTCCTAACGCCAGCCCCCACCGAGAAGATGAACGTCCCGTTCACAAAAATCACCGCAACATCACAATAAAAAAAATAAAGGAGCTTGATCTTACGAACAGTTGTAGTTAGTTCGTAAAATACCCCGAGTACTTTCATAATGGAAGCATTTGCATATTACCATTAACAAATTAAGGTGTGTCCACTCACCATAAAGTAGAATGATAATCTATCTATATGAAACACCTCAGCCTAGCTAAATTAATCCTCATTATCATTATGAGTAAACACAATTGTTATAACAATTTCCCTTAACATTATCACGTAAATGATATTTGAATAATATGTAATGAGCCCTATCAATCAGTGAAGGCTTTGTTCTGTACACAAGAACTTCTTTTCTGCTGAAGAAATCCATGTTTCCGCAGAAGAACTTCATGCTTACTCCTGAAGAAATCCATGTTTCTCGACAAGAAGTTCGTGTTTTCTACTAAAGAAATATATTTTTGTCAACAAATAGATGTTTCTCCACAAGAACAAGATTTCTACTTGAGAATTCCCTGTGTCTCCACAAGAACGTCACGTTTTCTCCTGCTGAAATCGATCTTTCTGTTCAAGAACTTCATGTTTTCTCCTGAAGAATTAAATGCTTTTCGACATTCGAGAGAAAGAGATTGTTTCTCCACAACTTTCTGCTGCAGAATTCCCTGCGTCTTCACTAAAACTTTACTCGTGTTCCCGTAAAGAAATAGATGTTTCTCCACAAGAACTTCATGTATTCAAAGAAAGTACCAAAAAAAGTAATAAAAGATAGAAATATCGAAAAAGGGGAACTATAAAAACGCTCTGCCAACAAGCAGAGAGGAGACGACTGGGCTTCTCGCTTCGAGTTCTGTTAATATCAAAGATCCCACATAGAGAACTAAAATATTGAAGAACTCATTTTCAGTTCTCTCAACCGCGAATATTTTACCGTCTAAATCAATTACGCGCATGATTTCAAGTAAGTCAAGCCCGTTACTCATAAAGTGCAGCTACTTGCTGCAAGAAAGATCATCCATAAGTTTTTTGGAGTTGGTTACACCATGTTTTACTCGGACTTTTCTTCGAGAACATGATGTGATCAAGTTTTGACATAGAAAAATCCCCATTTCTTGTCCAAGATAACAACTTTCTGGATCGAAGAACACTGGAAAACACAGGTTTCAGGGTCACGAAAGCTCCGAAGTTCTTTCAAGCAGCTGAGGCGTTGATTTCGCCGAGTCAATTTCAGTGAACACGCGCATCATATAGAAAAGTGATATGAAAGCTTGAATAAGTTGAACAATAACTTCATAGCACTACATAGCAATTGAGGAATATTGAAGAACTCATCGAATGTATGACGAAATAGACAAAAAAGGAAAGAGAACCTAAATATGATGAAATGGACAAAGAGACAGAGATCATACATATAATCTCTGTCACTCATCATGTATTTCGTTTATCTCTTTCCGTTC